AAGTAACAAAAGCAGATAGATTTTTTTGAGAACTTTGCAGCTTAGAGGGACCCCCGCCCCCCAGTTTTACATGTATTCAGAATCTAAAATATCCAGATACAATGTAAGAACCCACAACTACCAGCTCTGAGTTAAAGGTTTGAATTTTCATTTACCTTTTTAGGAATGTTTATTACAAGAGTCTGGCATTAATAACCTAGGGATAAAGAGAAGGTATTTTTGTTTTTAATGTAATTAGCCCCAGGAATCTTTGATGTAAAATCTAACATTTCAGATTAATTTTCTCTCCAACTTTTTCCCTTCCCACCCCCCTTGTAGGCTGATCTGTGTACGGGGCTCCAGGGTTTCCTCATCTTCCATAGTTTTGGAGGAGGCACTGGCTCCGGGTTTGCATCTCTACTTATGGAAAGACTCTCTGTTGACTATGGCAAAAAGTCTAAATTAGAATTTGCAATATACCCAGCACCACAGGTTTCTACTGCTGTAGTGGAACCCTACAACTCCATTCTGACTACACACACAACATTGGAACATTCTGACTGTGCCTTCATGGTAGACAATGAAGCTATATATGACATATGTCGTCGCAACCTTGACATCGAGCGTCCTACTTACACAAACTTAAATAGACTCATTGGGCAAATAGTTTCATCCATCACAGCTTCGCTTCGTTTTGATGGAGCCCTCAATGTAGATCTAACAGAGTTCCAAACCAATCTTGTCCCATATCCACGAATCCATTTCCCATTGGCGACTTATGCGCCTGTCATTTCTGCTGAAAAAGCATACCATGAGCAGCTGTCTGTGGCAGAAATTACTAATGCTTGCTTTGAGCCAGCTAATCAGATGGTAAAGTGTGACCCTCGCCATGGCAAGTATATGGCCTGCTGTATGTTATATAGAGGTGATGTTGTCCCTAAAGATGTCAATGCAGCCATAGCTACTATCAAGACCAAGCGTACTATTCAGTTTGTGGATTGGTGTCCAACTGGATTCAAGGTATGTTTTTCAAAAAATGTAATATATGAATGGTCAGCAGAACAGTTAGAGGTTGTTTTCACACACCAGTACAGTAGTGTCCCTATCTTTTTAAAGTTCACATGCTAGATTACATTTTTAAGCATGCATGGGTAAGGCTTGCAAGAGAAGATAGTTATTTCTATAAATTAAGCCATAATTACATTTTTTTTCAGAACGCTGTTTTACTAACAGTCACAATCTATTACTGCTCATCTGTGCAAGCAAAATCAGTAGAAGTGCCATGAGATTTAGCTATCCTTGGATGATGTTGTAAAATGTCTAGCCATGTGTCACTTATGGTGCCTGCATCACCTTTAAGTTCTTGCCTCTGTCTTGATGTTACTGAGGGATTCTTGAACTAAAGGCAGCTGTAGACTGGTGAAATAGTATGCACATACCAGTTGTTATTATTTAACGCACCAGTTGAGTACCTTGCCAATTACTATAGAAATTGCAGTTCTGATGGATAGCCCACAAGCTCCTGCCCATGCTGCTGCAGCAGCATTTCCCTCCTTCAGCTTCTGCTTCCTGTCCCCCATTCCTGCCTTGGAGGTTGGGTGGGACCATGGGGACCCAGGGAGCCAGCATAGCAGGTTGGGGAAGGGGCTGCAGCAGGGGAGCGGGCTGCAGCAGGGGAGCATGTGCACAGCACTGCCGGCTGCCCAGAAGTTGGATAGCCCTAGATAAAGTCATGAAGTTTTGTTTTATTTTTGTGGTAATTAATTGGAATTTGTCCAGAAGTATCCTATTTCTCTTGCCAACTCATGCTTTTAATTGCAAGTCTCACTATTTCTAGTAGGTTCTTTCCCCTTCCTCAAAAAGCTCCAGATACTGAAATAGTGTTTGGGAATTTCAGCATTTTGGGTTGTTTTTTTTTAAAGGAGTTCCTAGTCGTAATTGCAAAGAAAAATGCAGGAAGTGCACCTTGACACTTAAAACCAAGACACAAAAAGCCCCCAGCATTGATTACAATTTTAGGATATTTCTGGGGTTGGGCTCATAATTTTTTAACTTTTAGGGCTAGTAGTGTAAAGCCAGTGAAATGAATGGGAATGCTCCTGCATAGATTTCAGTTAAATAAGAGGTTTTCTGAATAAACTACAAAGAAAACTGAAAAAGGTATTTGAAAACATTAATTTCATTTTTGTTTTTTCATAGGTGGGTATTAATTACCAACCTCCAACTGTAGTACCAGGAGGTGACTTGGCCAAGGTACAGCGGGCAGTTTGTATGCTGAGTAATACAACTGCCATTGCAGAAGCATGGGCTCGCCTTGATCATAAATTTGATCTGATGTATGCAAAGCGTGCCTTTGTGCATTGGTATGTTGGAGAAGGAATGGAGGAAGGAGAATTTTCTGAGGCCCGGGAAGATTTGGCTGCACTGGAAAAAGATTATGAAGAAGTGGGTGTAGATTCAGTAGAAGCAGAGGCAGAAGAAGGGGAAGAATATTAAAAAAAAATAAAAGTATGAAAGGTTTCAACACAGAATTTTTCTTAATGCACTTGTTTGGTATACAAATAAAAGTTTAAATGTTCAGTTTTCATTTCTGGTTTAGTGGTTTATTAAACTGTTGCATAAAATGGAAGATGCTCAGATTTACTCATTTTAAGTAACAAAAGCAGATGTCAGAAGTACCAGGAAATTAATGAGAAAAGGATGTGGGGAGGTAGCTTTGCAGCAAGTGGTCTGCAGCAGCCCTTTTGATTTCTGCAGAAGAGGAACTACAAACCCTTCTACTAAAGTGATCACATGGAAATATTTATATAAAGAAAAAGTTAGTACAAATAGTTTGGTTCATAGACACTGCTCCTTTAAGTTAGCTGATAATGGAAAAGCAGTATTGCGTGGACATTCTGTTGGCAATTATCTAAAGGAATATGAATAATGAAAAATACATTAAGATGTATGTACCCTCTCTTGCCTTAACCACTTGCTGAAATAAAATTTGGACCTAAGTTTCAACAGGTGCAGTTAAGCCAAACCTGGATCCAGCAGAGTGATTGATGGCTGAAGCACTTAGTTATATTTTATAGTTAAAAGTAGCATGCTGACTTTTAACAGGACAAGATTGCCTGTTGAATAAGTGTAGATAAGGAGGAGATATGTTCATACTGGGACATACATTTTTCTTCTGGCTTGTATAGACAAAGGTTCAGTTTGGCCTTGTATCTGATCCATCTTGCTCACCTTAATGAGCACGAAGTATGTTGAGCGATAAATCATAGAAAGTTAGGGTTGGAAAGGAACTCAGGATGTCATCTAGAGTACCCTATTCAAAGCAGGACCATCCGCAACAAGATCATCATAACCAAGGCTTTATCTAGCCAGGCCTTAAAAACCTCCAAGGTCAGAGATTCTACCACCTTTCTCGGTAAGCCGTTCCAGTACTTCACCACCGTTTTAATATGAGTTTTTCATAATAGCCAACCTAAGCATCCCTTGCTGCAAGCTGAAACCATTACTCCATGTTCCATCATTTGTCACCGCTGAGAACAGTTTAGCTTCATCCTCTTTGGAACCCCCCTTTAGATAATTAAAGGTTGCTATCAAATCCCCCCTCAATCTCCCTTTCTGCAGACTAAATAGGCCCAGTTCCCTCAGCCTCTCCACAGAAGTTGTGTGCACCAGCACCCTCACCATTTTTGTTGTCCTCTGCTGCACTTAACCTGTCCACGTCCTTCCTACAGGGGGCCCAAAACTGGACACTACTCCAGATGTGGCCTCACTAGTGCAGAATAGAAGGAAGTAATTACTTCCCTCTGTGCTGGTAATGTTTCTGCTAATACAGCCCAGTATGCTGTTAGCCTTCTTCACAACAAGAGCATGCTTTTGACTCATTCATATTGTCCACTGTATCCCCCAGGTCTGTGTCTACAGAGCTGCTGCTTAGCCAGTCAGTCCCAAGGCTGTAGCAGTACATGGGATTCTTCTGTCCTAAGTGCAGAACTTTGCCTTTGTCCTTGAACCTCATGAGATTCCTTTTGGCCCAATTCTCACAGAAGGAGAAGGTATCGTGAGTATACAGAAGAATGGTTCCGACTGGTTAGTCCCTGGGTGGATGTGCAAAAGAAAAGAAAAAAAAAAGAGAGTGAAAGCTAGGCGCAATTGCAGACCCTGATTGGGGATGCTTTTGTAACCCAGGCTGTACTCCAAGAGGTACCCCCTCTCCAACTGAAGGGATCAAAGCAGGTGCACAAGCGCTGTGGGAGATGTAGGGACTCTCCTCCCGCTATAGAGCAGAGCCAGACTACCAATGGGGCCTTAACTATACACCTTTTAATGGGAGAACAGTACTGGGACTATAACAGGCATAAACCAGGGGGTATAGCAGACACTACAATTCCCCAACAGGGCAGAATTCAACAAAGCTTAGACATTTACAATCACTGACAAAAGACAGGGTTAATAAAATATAACACACAAACAGCAGAATAAACAATACTGGCTGATGAAATAAAAGGCACAAAATACAAAATGTCAAATAACAAGGAATATACGGCCTAGGTACCAGGAAAGGAAGAAAACACAATGACCCCTTTCCACTGCAACAAGAATTTCTCTGTTATTTCACTCACCCCAGCTGGGACTTGAACTCAGATCTACATGGCAGGCAGAAACTCTCCTGCAACCACCAGTGCTAGTGCTGGTCTAGCCTGCTAGGGGTCTTGACCTACCAGGAGCCCTGGCCTCACATTGAGCTGCCTAGCCTCTGATTGGAGGAGCTGGAAGCAGAGCTGGGAACCTCTCAGGTCATTGCTCAGATCCTTGCTGGAGCTGGGGAGCCTCTCCTGCTGGCTGCAGCCTCCTGGGGATCCTGGAGCCCTGTGGGGATCCTCTTCTGGTGGCCGCACGCCACGCTGCTGAGGGTCCAACTACTGCCTGCAGGTCCTACTCCTTTCAGCTCTTCTGGGGCAACTGCTCCCACGCCACTGGCCCAGCTCTTTGAAGCTCCTTCCTTGTGAACCCTCCCTGGTCTGTCCTGAGTCAGCCCTGCTGCCCCTTTTATCCCCCTCCAGGTGACCCAAGGGGCCAGTCAGGGGACACGGAGGGCAAGTCTCTGGGGCCTGACTGGTGGATAAAGGGAATTCCAAGTCCTCAAATCATCTTTTACCCTTTCAAAACCCCTGGGCCAAATCATTACCAGATTGGTGAGGAAAGGGAATCCCAAGTCCTCCAACCATATTTTGCCCTTTCAAAACCCCTGGGCTAAGTCACTGCCAGCTAGCCCGTCACACTTTGCAACCCGGTTGCCAGAGGAAATGGAAGAAAAGTTGAAAATGTAGCTCTTCCAAGTCCCCCATTTTGCTGACTGCAGAGGGAAGTGAGTCCATGTAGCACCACACGAAGTAGGAAAGGTTCAGTCTTCCAGAGGCGTAGGTTGTAGCTGTTGGTCTAAGGACATAGGCAGACAAGGTTCTTCAGGTAAATCCAGTATCTTTTATTAAACCAACTCAAATAGTTGGAAAAATTCTGCTTTGCAAGCGTTCGGGCACAAACACCCTTTGTCAGGCTGAGGAGGTATCTGCAGATGGTCTGTCTTCCTGGATGGAGTGGTAAAGCAGCCAGAGGCTGGTATGTATGGCAAGAAAGCCAGTCAGTGAAAATGTAAATTGAGGTGGTCAGTAGGTGAGATCATTGTAAAAAGTCAAAGGGTGGGAGACGAGAGAGGGGGAAGGAAATGAGAATAGCTGGTAAAAAGTGGAGGGTTTACCTGGGTCACAAAGGGTGTTTCAGAAAGTTTCTTCTGACAAAGGGCCTCTGCACAACCCTGGGGGTATTGCTGCGACCAAGACATGTAACTGAGCTATTACTGTGCAAATTAAAGAATTGGCAAGGCAGAATGCCTTGAGACACAGGGTTCTCCCTTTTTCAAGTAAATGGGAGAGATCCCAAATCCCTCAAGCAGACAGATTGGTGGCTTAGGTCCTTCAGATATAGTATATTTTGTCAATCTTTCATTTTAAATCCTGTTTGTAAATCATTGCCTGATTTAGTGCCTGACACTAGAAATATGCTGATACAGAACAAACCAAGTCCAGAGGTCATCAACATACTTGTCTCTGGGGGGTGGGCTTTTAAAAATACATTTTTGTTCAGGTATGAATTTAGACTTGTACCTGCAGCCATCTTCAATGATTTTTTTCCAAATTAAAATGCGTGCCTGTATTTGTGTAAGTAAGCACATGTAATTACATAAATAGATATTTGATAGGGAATGTCCTTTGCATGTATCCGTGAAAGGGACATTGCTCTATTATATATGTAAATAAGCATTTTCAGTTTGGTCATGTATGGAGCATTGTGGACTGAATTGTACTAGACCTGCATAGATGTGCAAAGAGATGAAAAAAGTCAGTCCCCTCGCTGCACACTTGCGCAAGCAGAGACAAAGGCAAAATATCAGCCCTCACATTCCTAGTGCAAAAAGATTTGGTAATTTTTGCAGCAACAGGATCATTATAGGCTTTGTGTGTGAAATATTTAATATGTAAAATATCCATACTTTGGTTCTCCCCAAATCTACAAAGTGCTTTTTTCTATATGATTGAAATTATGGTCATATTCCATGGAGAATCCAGCATGGGGTTGGTACATGGGATCAGTCTGCAGGTATGATCCAGTGTGTCAGACCATCTCATCTGGCCTGCAATGCTCCCCTGGGGTGAGGAAGTTTGGCAGAGAAAGAAGAGTGGCTACATTAATAGCCATGGCAATTAATGCTGCCACTGCTCCTTTGCCATCAAATTTCCAGACCCATAGAGGGCCCTACAGGACAGATGACATAGCTCTGAGGGCTGGAGGTTGAGCACCACCGATCAATTGTATGGATGTTGAAAACCCTTTTTCTGTAATGAAAATCCAGAGAAGACTTAGAAATGTACATTTGTTGCTTGAATTGCAACTAATAGTATTGCATATAAATAAGTACGGTACTTCATTGTCTCTGCAGTTACTGCAGATGTAACAACATTTAGGAATGTAATCATTAAATTAGTGACTAGTATCACTGAATTGTTCAAATAGAAGTCCCATTTTCAAAAGAAATGTGCGAAGGAAGCATCTGAAGTACTGCTTTTTGACCAGCAGATGTCCCCACTTACTTGATTTCCCTTAAATTAAAACGAAAACATTACCAAATTTAAGCTAATTGCATTTTAAGTTTTTGGAAATACACAACTTTAAAAGAATCTTTCTCAGCAGTTCTATAAACAGTTTTATACATGGCATTTCTATACTACTATGGTAAATGTCTTATTAATCTTAAATTCATTTTTCTAAAGTACTGATTTTTTCCTCAGGCAATAATAGTATTTGTACAACGTGGGTTCTGAATAGATATAAAAATATGCATCTTGTTTGCTATACTGCATTATTATGCCCATTTTACAGAGGAGAAAATGAATTATCAAGTAAGATAGTTAAAGTTACGGCTGAAGACTCTGGAAATGGAATTCGATTCTCCACCTTCCCAGTTAGTTCTTACCCTTTACCCTCTTTAATTGCCTATATGATTTCTTTTTAAATGTGTCTGGAAATTACTTAAGATGAATTAAAACTCCAGATCTTTTTATAACACTGACATTTCTTTAGAGAAGGGACTTCAGTTCCAAAGGACATTAGGATGACTTTTTCATTAACAGATGAGAGACTTGAAATGTCACGATACCGAGACAACTCATCTCATACAAAATCTGAAATCATATGACTCTCAGCTGAAGATTATGGTCACTCTTGGTTAATGCCCATGGAACAGTTCCAGCACTTGAAGAAAACAAGTTCATTTGTTTGTTTTTATGAATTTTCTTGTGGAAAATAAAAAAAACTCTTTTAAAAAAACTGCAGGGGAAAAGCGTACCAGCTAGATTCAGAAAGGCTATGCAGTAGAACCTAAAAGTTACAAAGACATCCAAAGACCAGCTCTTAATTTCTAGAAGCACTGATACATATTCAGGGGTGTACTTGCTGGCCGTGTTGGTCTCAGACAAGGATTCATACAAAAAACTAGAACTCTTGGTTCCAAAATGATACCTTTTGTCAGAGCAGCTGGTACATGTCAGGGTATCAAACTCCGAGTTTTCCAGAGGCGGAACGGAGCGAGCAGGGGCAGGCGCGGCAGCACGCGGGGCCCTGGGAGTCTCTTGCTTCTACCTAGGGGGTCTCACATGGGCCCGGCGGTGGCTCTTGAAGGAGCCTTAGACTTTCGGGGACTCCTTCCGAGACGCAAGCAACCAGACATCGCAGCCTCGTAGTCCTCCTCCTCTTTTACTCCCAAGCGTTTTCTGCGCTTAGTGAAGAGAGCAAATAACAACTGCACCTCTCGCTCCCTTTTCCGAACCGCAGCACCTGCCTCCCGGCACCTGTGTTCCTCGGCAACTTGTCTCTTGGGGACCGGGGCCGTCCTCGTCCTACCCTCCCCGAGCCCCTTTGTGTTCAGGGCCTGGGGTCGCCGGCCCGCCGGCCGGCACATAAGCCTCCCGGCCGCCAGCGGCAGCCAGCGTACATGCTGCCCCTGTGGGAAGCGGCTGCAGGCGCGGAGGCTCCGCCCCTGCTGGGCGGTCCGGGGCGGGAGCGTGGCCGGGCACGGAAGCGGCCGTTCGCCCTGCTGTTGGCGGGGTTGGGGGCGC